ATTAGGATTATTGATTAGTTTTGATCTAATGGAAGTAAACTTAGACAACTAATGAGGTGATTAAAGACATAGATTCTAAAATTAGGGAATTGTGTCTCTTTTGCATTAAATAGGCATGACCTTACTTTTTGAATGAATGGTTTGTAATATTTAGCCAATTTTATTTTATTTTCTTATATTTGTAAATTACTTGGTCATCCTTGTATTTGCCTATATAAGAGTAACTATTTCATTATATCATTTAGTTTTTGAAAATATATGAAATTGGTTTATCCATTTAAGAGAACTTTTGTGTTCTTTGATTGTACATTCTTTATCCAAATCTTGACAAGGGGATTTGGTAATGAATCAATTCAAGTTGGTGAAACAATTCTTTATGCTTGAAGTGTTTCTATTTGTCTTGGTCCGAATTAATAAGTAAGTGTGAGTTTGTTCTTGTTTTATGTTTGTCCGAATTTCAACTTGGTTTTATAGTATGTTTTGTTGTTAAATTGGTTGGATATGGATCACACTCGTAGTATCCTTATCTAGTTTAAGATTCTGTAAAAAATAATAGCTAATTATACTAACAAACCCAATTACACGAAATTAGAGAACTTTAGAGAAGTAGAGAAACCAGCAGGAGAGAATGACGAAGTGTTGATAGTGAAAAGAGAGAGCTTGTCAACTTTACAGAGCCACCAAGCAGAGACGATGAGCCAGAGTGAGAACGAAAATTATGCAGCGCTTTTTTCTTTCATATCAAAACTGACACTAAACGTTGTAATTTTAGTATTATACTGAACTAATATCTTTCTAATATTTTATAATCCTTAATAGTTTCATCACGTCACAGAAAAATACCCTACTAATATCTTATAACGCCCAGTTACCTTGAAATACTTACATTTTTACCTTCAAATTTTTACTTATTTTAAAAAAAAAAAAAAAAATTTAATTACAATGAGTATACCCATGGGCAGTAAAAGATAGAACTCTCATGCAACGATCGTCAATGGTATCAGGTACCTCAAAATGCTTGGGCTTTTGTTTCTTTTGGTATGAAATTGTTTTCTGAGTTCTTGGCATCAGGTACCAGAAAATTACTGTTTTGGATTTGTTTCTTTTGGTATGTGATTCTTTTCTAAGTCTTTTTCCTATCAGTTTCAGGTACCTCTAATTTATATTTTGAGTCAATATGAAGATAAGCATGCACAACTCCTAGATTAAAAATTAGGAATATCAATCTCCATCAAGATATGTAAGAAAAAGTGCCAATGGAAATAGTACGTACCAACGAAATTTTCGTAGCAAAGGACTAATTACAAATGCTGATTATAACTGACCCCTGGGAGAATGATATCCGTTGTATGTGCATGCAATACCTAATGGCTATATTAAAGCTTAAAACAAGTTAATTACTTGATAACTTTTTCTTATACCTTACTTTCTACTTATCAATTTGTACACATATCCATTCACAAAAAGCTAAAACACTTAGAAATCAGCTCATTTAATGGCTGAGATTAAAGTTTAAATAAATTAATTACTTGATAATTAACTTCGTTTTGCTTTTTCTTGATTTATACATGTAGATACACAAGTAGTTTAATTAAGACTTTAGAAATCAACTCTCTCTCTCCCAGTCTCCCACTTTCTCTACTTAATTTCTACATACCTTGCAATTCGATTAGCAATGTCAATTTTCAAAATTTTCTCAAAGAAACTCACCAAGACAGATGTTGAAAATAGATTGTCAGTGACAACCAAAAGCCTCAGTTCCTTCCCTCCATTCGGAGAACACCAGAATTATCTGAAAATCTTGGAGGACGATGATGAAGGCCAAAAGAGGCCATTTCGCTTGGTCGTCCGCAGGGGCCGGTATGGAAAGCCTGTTCTTTCAGTGGGTTGGCTTCATTTTGTTCGGACTAAGCAACTCCAAAGTGGTTTCTAGGTGAAACTTTAGGGGGAAGAAGATGAAGTTACAATCAAGATCAAATACAAGGTTAAACTGAAGAAGCCCTATATTGTATTCAAAGCTAAGCTTGATTATGTATCTCTGTACCCTGCTGCTTAAAGGCAACGTATCTTTCCTTCTTTTTAACCACGAATGCATGCAGCGTTTCCCATGCAATTGTCAAATGTACTCTAGTTTTCTTAGTGTTATGTTTGAGTGTATACTCTTTTTTTATGGCTATTTGCTTTCAAGTTTCAGGTTTGGTGACTTTGGTGAATGTAGCTGATGGTGCGTCTCTTTTTGTTGTTTAATATTTACTATGATATAGTGAAATATGGTTCCAATATTTTCATTTATTTGATTCTCCACTTTAATCCAATTTAACTACATTATATAAATCTATCGTTGTAGCCCACGTATATCGGCTATGTCTTGTATGCTTGTAATGGGGAAGGATTTTGAGTATCCAATGTAAATTGGTGTCAAAGGTTAATAAAACACATGTATTCTGCTTAGTAGCTTAGAGGAATGGTCGTTCATGAAGGTGAAATGAGCGTGCTAGATTTACCCTAAAAATCTCTGATTTTCCATAACAGGGAACGGGCACAAGAAATCGAGTCGTTCTTGTCATGAACAACTTGAGGATAGACAAATTGTAGTTCATTGTCTTGGAACGGTTGTTCCTCCCCAAATCCTCCAATGGACAGAATGATGAATGACTTGCGTGAACAAGCCGTTCCATATGGAACAACATGTCTAGGAGTTTTCCTTAGTTTGGGCAGAAGCATGAACGATTTAGTGGAACAATGTTGTTCATGCCTGGAATGGGCCGGTGAGCGCCCTCCTGTCGACCTCTCCAATCGCCGGCTGATTCCAAAAAAATTATAGATTCGTATATTTAAAATTTCATGACATTTGTAGGCAATTTTATAACCAAATCCGTACGTAGTTATACGACAATCAGTAGACATACATGCCTATTAAAAATAGTGTTGCATGATGATGGTCTCCAATTGCTAGACAAAATATGCTTCAAAGTGAAGCAAAAATTTGCATTTGTATTGAGTAATTTGTTTGATTAGTGGTCTTTAGATCAAGTCCCTACTTCTAATTATAATGCTTAGTAGTTTATTAAACTTCCTAAACAAGCTTGTACTTATTTATGCACAATGGATTCAATTTCTGAGATTGGGCCAAAGCCCAAAAGAGAGTTTGTCCTAATTAATATCATTATTGGGCCAAAGCCCAAATGGACAGCTCCTCCTAATTAATATCGAGCTTTGGATGCTTTCCAGTTTCCATCTATAAGTCCTCTGCATGTTACCGAATTACTAATTAATTCATTAAATCTGTAATTAACGATCATCACTCCGCTAATTAAGTTTGTTTTTTTTGGGATTGATTGTAATTTGTAAAGGTTATTATTTGGCTAGATTTAGAAACTGAAGAGGAGCAAAGTGTAATTTTTAAAAACTAATATAGAGGTTAATAAATAGTGGACAGTTTAGGGATGCATTAGAAATAACTGTAATTTACTAAATGGCGCAAGAGTCAAACGCGAAACAAAGAGAATCAGAACAAGTTGAAGAAGAAGAATTTGACGATAGAAATCGAACATAAAAGAAAAGAGAGCAAGTTTCAAAATTAACAAATCAATCTTCGTCGATTAGTCATGCAGGTAATGGAATTGCATTCCACGAGTATGGAGGCATTGCATATATCTCCGGCCGACGATCCGCGAGGAAGTCCAGGTAAAGAGCAGCAAGCAGCCGGAGTCGGCATACTCCTTCAGATCATGATCTTGTTCTCTCTTTCGTTCTCGGCCACGTTTCTCCGTCGTCATCGCTTCTATTATCTCCCTGAAGCCAGCGCTTCTCTTCTCATAGTTTTTAATTTATTTCATTTTTATTCCATTTTGAACCTCCCCACTTAGTTTAGGTTAAATTTTGTACCTGATTGTTCGATTTTTCACAGGTTTACTCGTTGGTGCACTTGCTAACATTTCTGATACCGAACTAATATTAGGTATTTTATTTTTTTAGTTTTTGTGATGTGATTCTGAAAGCCTAGGTGCTTATGTCATATCTTGTTTGTTTGGCAGGACATGGTTCAATTTCCACGAGGAATTCTTCTTCCTGTTTTTGTTGCCTCCGATCATATTATATCCTAACTAAACTTGGATTTTTGTGACTCATTTCTTGACATTTACTTTTTCGTTTAATAATTGCATATGGATGTTTTTTTATTTTATTTTATTTTATTTTGTGTATGTATGCATGTACATTACATACTACTTTTATACTGAATTGGCTCTTCAAGTTCTGTTTTTCTTGACCCTTTTTGTGCACTCAGTCAGGCTTCAGCTTGGCACCTGTAAGTATTTGTCATTGTTTCTCAATATAATCTATGATTAATGCATGCATTGCGTTTTTGCCTTGAGTTGATTGCCTGATTGTTTATTGTTTATTTTTTTGTTTTGGCAGAAACCATTCTTTCTAACTTTGGAGCCATTGTAACATTTGCTATACTGGGAACTTTTATATCTTCAATGGTTACGGGTATCCTAGTGTAAGTGCTTCTCTATTTAGAAACTGCTATATTTATCTTTGTGTACGAGTAGTTGATTCATTATCTTTTCTTTGTGGCTTTCTGTTACAGTTACCTTGGTGGCGTTATTTACCTCATGTACAGGCTTCCACTTGTTGAATGTCTTATGTTTGGTGCTCTTATATCAGCAACAGATCCTGTCACTGTGTTGTCTAATTTCAGGTGCTGTGCTTTCTTATTTTTATTTAGTACTTAAATTTATGTGCTAGTAAGCTTCAGGTATGTGAAACTTCAATTTTTAGATTTACTATGAGGTAATATTATACTTATGCTTTATCTTCTGTGATGTGTCTTATATTTTTTGTTATTGGACATAAATTCAATTTTTTTCCTGAATTACCTAATCAGGTGCTAGCTATTGTGAAGGATAAGGCCTACCATCTATGTTTTTTTTAACCTTTTTTTTTAAATTATCTTACTTTATTCTCTTAGGTCGGTTTACATGTGATGATCCTAATTGCAGGAACTTGGCACAGATACGAACCTGTATGCCTTGGTTTTTGGAGAATCTGTTTTAAATGATGCGGTAAGTTTCTGTTGTATGTTATCAAGTGCCTTTTTTTCTGTTTAAGCAAATCTTTTGTTTAATCCTCAAGACTATTTACTCCACAAATTATTTGTTTGCATGTTGCAACCGATGGTAGATGGCAATATCCTTGTACAGGTTTGTAAAGTATTTGCATCGAATATAAACTGTTAGAACATGTTTAAGGTTCGGTGTTAAATCAACCAGTACTTGGTATACAGGACAATGTCTCTAGTGAGAAGTCATGCGCCATCTGGGGAAAATTTCTTTCTGGTGGTCGTCAGGTTTCTTGAGACCTTTGTTGGCTCAATGTCTGCAGGTAGTTCTTCAATTGCTTCTTCTGCTGTCTTACTAAAAGCTATTATATTAATCTTTGATTTATGATTGACAGCTATAGTTTTGAAACTTTGAACCTGATATTGGTGTGTCTGTTGATATTATTGGGTAAAAGTTTTATCACTGTGAGAATCTCCTGCTTTCTCATGTCTATCGGTGTAACAAATTATATCTGATTCTTTGGAGTTTCAGAAGTGTTTTGTGGTAGATGCTTTGAGTGAGACTAAAGCAGGATATTTTGAAATACAAGATTTGCTTGAGTTTGTTGAAATATGAGATTAGAGTTTGAGTTTGTGGAAGACTCTATATGGTTAATGTCTGAATAACAGGGCTACAGAAATTAAGCTAGATAATTAAATGTGATTTCAGAATTTATTTTTACAGTTGAGAAAGGTTGTTTGAAGGAGATTGAGAACTTATACCCGGTTAAGGGCCATTATGTTGATATTTTAGCTTATCGTTTATGCTTTTCTTCCTGAGGTTGCTAAGAGTGTTTTACATATTGCTTTGCAGGTGTTGGAGTTGGATTTACTTCTGCTTTGATATCCTTTTCAATCAAGTCCTTTTATTATCCAGTTGTTTACTGCATGAACTTTTAGCCTTTAGAATGTATTGTTGAAACCTTAATTCCCTGAACCTTTTCAAGTATGCTGGTCTGGATATTGATAAGTGAGTAAATCATATATATTATCTTCATCAAATTTCTTCAGATATATAATATTATATGAAGATTCCTGATTAAAACATTCTGTTGTTCTCCATTCAGCCTGCAGAACTTGGAGTGCTGTCTCGTTGTTCTTTTTCCCTATTTCTCGTAAGCAGTTTCCTGGGCCATTCATTATAATGTTCTGAAACATCTTAGGTTCTTTGTCGCTTAATGTTGCAAATTTAATATAAAAATTATCTCTTTTAGGTACATGCTTGCAGAAGGCCTTGGGCTCTCTGGTATTGTATCAATATTGTTCACTGGAATTGTAAGTAGACATATATGATTTTAATGTTGAATGATGATCACCTATCACGTGTTGAAGCCGTGTAACAGAAATGTTGTTCTGTTTTAGGTCATGAAGCGTTATACATACTCAAATTTGTCAGAAAATTCTCAGCGATTTGTATCGGCATTTTTCCACTTGATATCATCATTGGCCGAGACATTTGTGTGAGTGCACTTTATTGTTTTTATTAAGTATCAAGGAATTAAAAAGATTTCTTTTATGTATGCAACTAATTCACCTTTCTTGATGTTTCCCCTGTTCAATTTTCAGATTTATTTACATGGGCTTCGATATTGCCATGGAGCAGCATAGTTGGTCTCATGTTGGATTCATCTTTTTCTCAATTGTATCCTTGGGTCCTGCATCAGAAAGTTTATGTTTAATTTTTATTTTTATTGAAGATTTTATTATTATTCCTTAACTGCTCTATGTTGATCTCAGTTATTCATTATAGTTGCAAGGTACAGAAGCTGCATTGTGAATATTGTGAACAGTTTATCAGGCCGTTTCAATGTTTACTATTGTTCTTTACAAATTTTTATTAGGGAATCATTAATCAGGTTGTGCAATCATCTTGTGCAGGGCAGTAAATGTTTTTTCTTGTGCATATTTGGTTAATTTGGTTCGACCTGCGCACAGAAAAATTCCTGTGAAACATCAAAAAGCTCTTTGGTATAGTGGTAAGAAGAGCAGAAGTCTGACAGTTTGGGGTTTACTTTATGTATTTCTGACCTCAATTAATTTTCAGATTGAGGCATCTTTTGTTGTGTTCATTTTTTGTGTTGCCAAATCCTAATGAATTATGGGCTTGTAGGACTTCGTGGTGCTATGGCGTTTGCTCTTGCTTTGCAGTCAGTTCATGATCTCCCAGAAGGACATGGCCAGACTATATTCACAGCCACCACTGCCATAGTTGTTTTGACGGTATGTAGATTGCCCCTGAACATTATATTACTACACAGATTTTTTTTTTTTTTTTGTTCTGTCATGATTGACAAACTATTACATAAGGCGCCCTTACGTTTATTATACGAAGTAGTATGAAGTAGTTATCTACATCAGAGTAATTCAAGACTTTGTCCTTTTAGTCTGACTTTTCATGTGCTTTATGTGCTATACTTTGGGCATTTGTTGATGCCTCATCTTTATTAACGAAGTATCTATTTTTGAATGTGTTGCAAGTTCACATATGACACTTATTCTTTTACACCTAAGCTTCCAATCAATTTTTCAGGTATTACTAATTGGAGGTTCAACTGGTACCATGTTGGAAGCTTTACAAGTTGTAGGTGATGGCCATGATATCCCTATGGGTGAAGTAAGTGCTGCCAAAATTAATTTAGTACCTTGTTTAATGTACATCAGAATTTCCATGAACTGGTCAGGTTGACAGGAACCAAATAGCTGAATTAGGATACTGCTGCTTGTATTTTGGCGACTAGTAAATCTGCAAAAGTTTGTGATTTACTAATCTACTATTTGTTTCAGAACTACGAGGGTAATAACGGTTATGTTGCTCCTACTTTTGATGATGATTCTTTTAATGAGGGATCATCATCAGGGAACCGGTTCAAGATGAAACTTAAAGAATTCCACAAGAGGTAGCATCTAAATGTTTATCTTATCATGTGACTTTTGTCATTTACATTATAATTGTTATTTGTTTAATGAACTTTTGTCCTGCAGCGCGGCATCATTCACAGCATTAGATAGGAATTATCTGACCCCCTTCTTTACAAGTCAAAATGGAGATGAAGATGAAGATGGTGAGAAAGACTATTCACATCCTATAAAATAAGATAGGGTTTATGGAGTGTGGTGCTTGAGAAATGTTTTACTGTTATATTTGCTCAAAATGAATGGAGTTTTTTGGATGGTTTGCAGATGAGTCAACGCCCATTGCTAGAAGCAGCAGCTTCCGTGGCTAAGTTGAAGAAGAATTATACTAGTATGAAACAAGACGGGCTAACTGTGTAGATAACATAGGGGATGATTGTGGTACAATGCGACTTGCTAATTGGTAGAAAAGTAGTTTGAAAGCTTGAATTAGAGCTACGCACATATTACTGTGGAGGCAAAGTCCATGCTCGACTACATTGCCAAAATACATTCACTTGGTCAGTCATACAAGTTCCATGTCCAAGTACTACCACACTGAGATTATTGTACAAGATCTAGTAAATATACAATATTATTTTTGCCTACTATATTCACCCACACGATGTAACACATATAAAGAGGTTCCATTGTCTGCATTTTATGTTTTTAATTGCCGCTGTGTTCCTTTTAATTATATCATGTACTTTTAATATTCAATTTGTTTGCCATCTGCGAAAAAAGGGCCTTCATTGCTTTTGTTATTTAATCAAGAAAAATAATGATTTAAGGACATAGCAATCCCATGGAGATGGTGAGGGAAGGAAGTCAGGAAACCTCTTGCATCTACTGATCTACAGTCTCCTGCGTTCTATTATCACATGCACCAGAATTCTCAGGTTCAAGAGCGGTTTTTCATTCAAACTTCCCTTTTTATTTTCCTTCTCTACCCTTGCATTAGGCACGGGCACATTTGTGTCTTACCTCACTCTATTAGAAATTTCTCCTAAAGTGTGTTGGGTGGCTTGATGGTAAGGCTTTAGTTATTTGAGTAGGTTATCCGAGGTACTTCTATTCAAGTCTTATAAAGTGATCATCTATCACATTTGTATCTTACTTCATTGGACATGTAAGTTGAGTTTTTAGAGTGTTCAATAAAACTGAAAGATTAGTTGAGGTATGTGTAAGTAGAGTGTTTAACGGAATCTGAAAGATTATTTGGAGAGTCTCAATTAATTGAGGTGTACGATAACTTAGTTTAGACACTTGATTATTATAAATAAAATAAAAAAAAAAAAATTGGTTAGGAGAGCCAAAATGAGAATTAATAAACGAAAAGGTCCCTGTGTTTTCCCCGGTGGACACAATTATAAGTCTTAGGTGAAAGTATGAAACCCTTTTCATCTTTTTTGACCTTCCTTTTACCAAAGACAAGTCCAATCGGGTTCGGGTAATAATCTTAAATAGCATTTCAAAAGGAATATGACATGACGGGTCTACCATTAAAGAAATACGGGTAAAAGATTCCAACTAAAACCTTCATTTGAAAATAATAGAACCGTTACCACTTGATCCTCCCTCCTAACGGCTAGTTTTTTTCTCCCTGATTCCTTTTACAAGAAAACAGTGAGCTTAGCTCTCCTCTCTGTCTCCTCCGTCCAAGTCCTACACATTCCCAATTCCCAATCGCAGCCACGGACCCTTTCCTATCCTGTTGTCGTATCATCCTCCAGATACGATTTTGATTTCATTTTGTTAATCGAAGAAACGGATCAATCATGAGCCAAGTTATGTCGCTACAAGTTGAGCAGGCTGCCTCAACTACTACTACCAACTCCACTGCCACTACTGCGGTGGCCGTGGCTCCTCCTCCTCCTCCTCCCCCAACTCATCGCCGTCCCAGAGTCAGAGAGGTCAGTTCCAGGTTCATGTCTCCCGTTGCATCTTCATCTTCATCTTCATCGTCGCCGAATCACAAACTACATCAGCAGCAGAGACACAGACGGCATCAAGATAATAGTCACGGGGAAGGCACATCTTCCGCCGACGAGAATCACCGTCCCATCGAAACCGCTCGGAGCTTGGAGTCGCCGTTTCAATTCCAACGGCCTGTTAGACATCAACAACATCCGCATCAACGGAGATCTGGTAACTCCCTGAGACCAGATACTCCTACTGTGATGACGTCATCTTTACAATCATCGACAAGACCTAGACTCATCCAACGGACCAGCAGCGGCGTTGCTACGGCTGCTACAAAACTTTTACAGTCCTTATCATCTCAAGAAGACACGTCATCAATCGCTTCTGATGATAACTCTTCACAATTATCAGAGTCCGATATGTTGCCAACAGTTTCGAATCGATTACTGGGCGAGAGAAACATCAACAGGGTTAATTCTTCGCTTAATCTTCCTCTATCTACTGCTTCCGTGAAAGGAAGTGAAAAGGCAACACCAGCTGTATCGAGGTCTTATACCAACTCCGGGAAACTTGGGGGCTTTTCTTTGCCTCCGGTTGCGCCACCGCAAACAAAGGCGGGGACTGAAGCCAGGAAGGGGAAGAAAGTTTCGAGCCATCAGGAAGACATATATTCTCTCAAATTGCTTCACAATCATTATCTGCAGTGGAGGTTTGCTAATGCTAAGGGTGAGGCCTTTATGCAAGCTCAGAGAAGAGAAACCGAGGTTAGTGTTAAAATTGAATATGGAATGATCCTTTTGTTAATTGAACTTATTTGTGGTTGATGAAATGTTGCAATTTTGTTTCCTTGTAGCGAACACTTTACTGTTGTGGGGTTAAAATAGAGGAAATGTATGATTCGGTGAAAAGGAAACGCATTGAACTAGGGATTCTGCGGAGAACAAAAATGTTATCAACAATTCTTGAAGCTCAGGTAAAGCTGCTGCTAGCTTGATGAATGACTTTATGTTATGAATCATATCTCTCAAATCAAGCCATTGACATTTCTAACCATTTCTTAAAGATGAGGGCTGATGTTACTTATCTTCGTATTTTTTATAGTTGTAATCTGTAAGTTGCACTTGCATATATACATACTGTTTAATTTAGCCAAGTTTCTTTTGTTAATTGACACACATTTTCTTCTGTTATGTTTTTATATTTGCATTTAGTTTACTCAAATTCTCTGATGTTCTTCTTCTAAACCAAATTAAAAAGTAATGTACTTGAAACTACCATTCTTGAAAGTTAGATTGGTCATTGGAATAATTAAAAAGTATTCAATCAGTAAAAGAAGGTATACAGTAGTTCATGGCTTTTATGCATGTTAAACCTGAGAATTTACATTACTTTTCTGCAACCAAATTCAGATGCCATATCTGGACGAATGGGGTGCTTTGGAAGGTGATTATTCGAATTCTTTGTCAGAAGAAATTAAAGCTTTGGTGAATGCCTCACTTCAACTTCCAATCGGTGGGAATATTAGGGTATGATTTTTTGTCCATTGCCTCTATAATTGAAGAAATGTCTCTTTTTTTTTTTTTTTTTTTTTTCTATATTGCTTTGACTTTGGTGCTCTCTACACTTTACACTGACAATGGGATATTGTCATGGCAGGCTGATGTTAGAGAGGTGGGCGGGGCACTCACTCTTCTGTGAAGTTGATGGAAACTATAATTCTCAATGTTCAAAGCTATATGCCAAAGGTGGGATATTGATTGAAACTTTCCTTGGATAATCTTGGGAGAGAAATGAAGATTTACCTAAGTTCAGAGTAAATTCATTGTTGAACAATAAAAAAAAAAAAAAAAATGCATAATGTTGTACTTCAATGGGATACCTGATTGAATGTGGTTGGATATTCACTTTTTTGAGTAGGCAGAACTAGAATCAATTAGCTGCTTCATCTCCCTCTTCTCCACATGATGTAGATTTGTTATGTCTAAACAAAGTCGAAACATGATTAAACTTTTCTGGGAAGCTGAATTATGCTTGTCGATGCAGGCGGAAGAAGTGGAATTTTTGATATCAGAACTAGCTAAGGTGACTGGTGGGGAAAGAGCTCTTATTGAAGAATGTGGAGGTCTATTGTCCAAGACACATGCATATCAGGTTTGATTTCAAACAAGTTTGTCTGTCTCCTATCAAGTTCCTTCTTGAAAAACATACCAGAATCACTTTTCCATTGTAAATCTTATCTGAATTGCATATATTTCTTGCAGGTAGAAGAGTGCAGCTTAAGAGGCGAGTTCATGCAACTGCATAAGAGGCTTCCTGCTAAATTACAGGAAGAAGAAAACAAGAATTCATCACTCAGTGCTGTTCATATGAGATAAAGACTTGAGGCTTTTTATATTTTTGGAATTTCTTCTTCTCTGGAGGAGGAGGTGGAGGTGGAGGGGAAAGTAATCAAAATTTCATATTCCTTTACAGTTAAAATCAGGCCATAGAGTGAATGACCAGGCAAGATTGATTGATTTGTTCTTCAATAATTGTAAGGCCTGCAAATTTTGTGGCCTATTATTGCATATTTAACATATGAGTGTACATATATTATGATATCAACTTTCTTTTTGTGCAAATAATAATTAAATTATTCACAAGAAATTTGAAGGAATTTTTTTTTTTTTTTTTTTAATAACTGAGGTATTCGGACACAATTGCTAGCCAAGTCCACCTAATCTTCAATGCCACGGAACAAATAAGGAAATGGTAATGCACTTGATTATCAAATGGATAATGTTATATCTTACAATTCGTACGATGACACAACACTAATTCAATTATTTTTATATTATTTGTTATCTTATTTTACTTTGTGTAAATATTGATTTTAATATAAATAACAGCTATATATATTTTTTATTTTTTCGGATAAAGCAAAAAATATATTTTAAATTTCCAATTTTGAACAAAAAAATAATAATGCGGGTGATAATGAAAAAAAATAAAAGTAGTTGGGAAAATTTGAAATTATCAGAAATTGAGAGACATATTGTAATTATAAAAAGCAAAGTGCCGCCTTAGAAAGACGAAGAAGGGGGTTGGAATTTGAGTCTTGACAGGGAGATTTGGGAAAAGAAAAGAAAAGGAAAAAAAAATTAAAACTTGTAATCAATCATTCATCGATCGGATTTGATAATTCATAGAAACAAAGGGAGAAGATGGCGTTGAAGTTTCTGAATAAGAAGGGATGGCACACGGGAAGCTTAAGAAACATAGAGAACGTGTGGAAAGCGGAGCAGAAGCACGATGCGGAGGAGAAGAAATTAGACGAATTGCGTAAGCAGATCCAAGAAGAGAGAGAACGAAGTGAGTTTCGCCTTCTTCAAGAACAGGCTGGGCTCGTTCCGTACGTTTCTTATCCAGTTTATTCTCTTTTTATTAATTGGTTAGAGGTAGGATTCGGATTCGGATTCGGATTAGGGTTAGGGTTAGGGTTTTTAGTTGTTGAACAGATGATTATATCCAAATTAATTTGCTTTGAGCTAATCTGTGTTTTGGCTTAGGGTTTTTGTTTGTAGAATTAATGAATTTTATTCTTTATTTACAGGAGGCAGGAGCGGTTGGATTTTCTTTATGATTCGGGTTTAGCGGTTGGGAAGAGTGATGGAGGAGGGGCGAGTGGAAGTGGGAGTGGATTCAAGGCTCTTGAACAACCCTCTACTACCTCCTCCTCTGCCACGGCGAAGCAGCAGTCGTCTGCTCCAGGTGCTTTATTTGAGGATGATAAACCTCACTCTGCTGGTGATGCCTGGCGTAAACTTCATTCCGATCCTTTGCTTTTGATTCGCCAGCGTGAACAAGAAGCACTTGCCCGTGTCAAGAACAATCCTGTCAAGATGGCCCTCATACGTAAATCTGTATGTTCTTTTCAATTCTCTATGCTTATTACTTCTCAAATTACATATTTGATGTTTTACTTCTACTGTGTTGTAGTTGTAATTATTAGCTGTGTTCTCATTATTTTGTTGCAGACAAGAATTCAACTGAAAAAACTAGCCCAATACTATGCTGATCTTTTGCTGTCTATTTTTGGTAGGTGGAAGAGACAAAACACAAGGATAAGCCTCGTGACAAGAAAAAACATAAGAAGAAGCATCGTTCTAGTTCAAAGTATCAGAAGCATTCATCATCCGGACACCAATCTGATTCTGAGGATTCAACTTCTTCAGAAGGGGAAAGACCGGGGAAAAGTAGGAGTCACAAGAGCTCAAACCATGCGGACCACTACCACAGCAAACGAGTGGATTCGAGAGATGAATTAAGTGAAAGGAGAAGTAATGAGAAGAATCATCACAGCAAACGAGTGGATTCGGGAGATGGATTAAATGAAAGGAGAAGTAATGGGAAGAATCGTTACAAAGACTCAAGATACAGAGAACAGTCACCCAGTGACCTTCCAGAACCAAGAACCAGAAGAAATGATGATCGAGATTCTGTGAGGAGGAATCATGATAAGTCAAAGCATGAAAGATATTCTTCTGATGGTCGGACAAATTTGGATGCTGACAAAAAGGGAAGGGAAAACAGAAGTTCTTACGAACCAAGCTCCTATGGTTCTTCTGCTGCTGCAAATAGGAGTGAATTACAATCACACCATAAACGCCGTAATGTTGCTCCTAAGCTTTCTGAAGAAGAGCTGGCTGCTAGGTTGCGTGAGATGCAAGAGAATGCTGAATTGCATGAAGAACATAGATGGAAAAGATTGAGGAAAGCTGAGGAAAATGATGCAAGGGAAGCTACCCGGGATGGGATATCTAATGGCAAGAACTTCTTGGATGCTGCTCAAAAAAGTGTGTATGGTGCTGAGAAGGGGGGAAGCTCAACCATAGAGGAGAGGGTACGTCGCCGAACATATTATTCACAAGGCCGGTCTGAGGCTAGTGAAGGCAATGCTTTTAGGCGGTGATGCCCTTCTACATCCTTTTTATGGAACCTTATAATCCAGGCGTGCTTCTCTGTTTTTCCCTTACAAGAGTGTATATTTCCTGTACCAGCCTATGTCCTTACTGTAAGGATGAGCTACTGAATGTTAGGCAGGATGATCCGAATGTAATTCATTTTCACCTCAAATAGGCCAGAATATTTCAGTTTAGAATCTTAATACTTTTTGAGTACTCAAATGGATAATTTTTTTTTTTTTTTCCACAAATGCTGCAGATATCATATTCTGGTAATAGTTATATGACATGTTGCTTTGTTACTTCTTCTTCGTTTTCTCTGATATGAATGTATTCATTTGCGAGGTGCTCAATTGGGGTGCAAGTATACCCTCTGATCATTGCTTAAGGTTTCTAGATTGGTTTTCCCACTTTTTGTTGTGATCCGGCTCAATTAACATAAAATTTTGAACATTTTAAGGGCGGGCCGTATCCCGTCGGTACATAGGCCTAGCCTGTACAGTAGCAAGCTCTTGAATTGCTAGATTTATCGTTTGTCTCACATAACTGCCTTATTTCATCCTAGTCTGGAGTAGGATGAGGTTCTTTGCACATTATAAGATTATTTATCATTCCACTCAGACTATACGCAATTTCTCACCCAAGTTGAGCGAAATCCCAAGTAATACTCTTGTTTCATTTACTCCACATACCCACCCTTAAATTAACATCATTTCATTTATTTAACAGTAAAGGGCAAATTGGTTTTTCTATTTTTCTTTTAACTCTTCCCTTCTCATTTCTTCCCAGTACGCCTCCTCCTCTCATCTTCTTCTTTTTCGCTCCACACCTCCTCCTCCCCGACACCTCACCATCCAACCCCTACCCCCCCCCCCCCCCCGACCACCTTGACTCCCCTTTTCGCCGTCACCCTTCACCTCAAGTGTCGCACTCCACCAACTTCTTTCCGGCAGCCCCATCCCCAAAAATCTTCATCAAACCCACCATTTAACTCATCAAAGAGCCCTCTCCAATAACCCCATGCTTTCTGTCCCCGATTTCTCACCTTTCAATACCGATTTAAGCCCCCTCTCCCTAGGGTTTCTATTTTGTTTTTTGCTTTTGCTTTTGTATTTTGTTTTATGTTTTTTTGTTTTTCTTATTGAAATGGTGTGATTTTTGGTGGTTGATATTGAGCTTGGAATGGGGTGATTTGGCCGACTGTGGTGGTGGTTGGGACGCTGTGTTGGTTTTGGGATGGGGTGGTTTGGAATGGGATGTGGTGGTGGTGGTTTGGCTGGATGTGGGATTTGGAATGGGGTAGTTTTGATGGCTATGGTGGTGGTTAGAGATGGGATGGTTTGGGATGGGTTGTGGTGATGGTTTGGCTGGCTATGGTGGTGCCGTGGTGGTTTGGAATGGGGTGAATTAATTTAATGTTAATTTAAGGATGGATATTTAGAATAAAACAATAAAACTATACTTACTCACCATCTTACTAATCATCTTATTATATATAATGTTATAATATGAGTATTATGCATATAGTATCCGTATTATATCGTTATATTTTTTAAGATGATAAAATGATTACTCATCATCTTACTAATTATCTTATTATATATAATGTTATAATATGAATATTATGCATATAATATCCATATTATATCGTTATATTTTGTAAGATGATAAAATAATTAATAACATCTAAATAAGTATAACATTACCTATATTAACTTAAGCTTTAGCTGAACCTTGGGTGGGAATTTTTCATTCACTCTTCTATTCAATTCTATTTCTATGATTACTTGTTATGAGGAACCGATCTTTTGTGAATTCAACGGTTACGTGGCAGATAGGTCAACCAAAAAAAACCATTTCTCTCAACACACCACCGTTGACTGCCCTCCCATTTCCTTTTCTTTTTCTTCTTCTCCTCTCTCTCCCTCCTTTGTCTCTCATATTCCGTTAACCACCTACCATCACTCTACCACTGCCACCTCTTCTTTTTCTTCCACCCATTTTTTTTTTCTTTTTCTTCCACCCATTTTTTTTTTTCTTCTTCTTCTTCTTCTTCTTCTTCTCTCTTTTCTTCTTTTCTTCCTCCTACCCTCTTTCTTCTTTCCTTTTCTCCCTTGTCAGAATAGGCTCCGAGGCGGCTGGATTTGGCCGTCGTAAGGCCATCACGTTGTGGCTAGATTTGGATTGCCGCTTTTTCCTTCTTCTCTCAACAAAACCTCAGTTTCATTTCTCTCTCCCAGGTAAACTCCCGCGTTTCCAATCTGAGTTTTTAGGTGGGTTTGTGGCTGAGTTTGTGGTGGTTTTTGGGTAGGTTTGTGGCTCGGTTTGTGGTGGTTTTTGGAGGAATTTAGAGCTGAGTTTGTGGTGGTTTTGGGGGCGGGTTTGCAACTGAATTTGTGAGTGATTTTGTGTTGGATTTTGGGTGGGTTTGAGCAGAGCTGGGCATTTGGGACCGGGCCCAAAAGCCCAGCTCCAAAAACCGGGCCTAGGACCGGTCCTTGGGAGGACCGGTCCTAGGAGGCTTGGTCCCAAAACGGGACCAGGCCTAAGGAGGAGGGCCCGGGCCCTCCACCGGGCCCTCCTCCAAGGCCCGGGCCTGGGCCCAAAAGTTTATTTGTCTTTTATCAATTTAATCCTTTGTAAAATTATTTAAACCCCCTAAAATCAGTATAAATTCAAGGACTAAAATGATATTTTATAAAATTTATTAAAAAAAAAAAAATAACCGTTGCAGCCAACGGTTACATTTATTATTTATATAATATAAGTTTTTTTTTTTTTCATTTTCCCCCTACAACTACACTATAAAACCCTAAAACCTTTAATTTTTTTCACACCAATCTCTCAATCTCTCTTCTTTCATTCTCTCAATCTCCTCCAAATCTCCAATCATTTCTCATTCAATTTATATTTATAATTTATTTATATTATTCAAATTTTTTTCTATTTTTCAATATATCATAATTTCATATTATTATTTAATTTCTTTTCATTTTAATTATTTATTATTTTATCATAAATTTAAATGTCTTCCCCAAATGAGTTTTACGTTCCATCCACCGAAGAAATTGAAGCCTTCGATCCATTTCATCATTTCCTCCAGAGGATGGAGCTGTATTCCACACCACATTCGCCGGACGAGGGTGTAGCCAAACACATGTGAGTGCGAGCGCAAGGGCACGGACATAGCCAACCCCCCGACCGTCAAAAAGGGTCGTGTCCGATGTCTGGCGATACTTCACCAAATCAAAACGGCCAAGGACAAATGGGGAGGGGAAGAATCGTGTGGGATATGTAATTTATGCGGAACCATTATTGGGGCTGAGAAGGGGACTTCGACGATGCGACGACACGTAGAGAAGAGCATCCCCAAATAAGTGCATCTTCAAGCAGATCAGGTAGACAAATTCAAACTCAACTTAATTTTAATCCACAATTCTCAACTCTCTCAACATGGCAATACAATACACATGTTGCACGAGAGGAAATAGCAAGATATGTTGCTACAGACTCTCCCATTTGTTTATCTGAAAATTTTTTTTTTTAATATGGTTAAAACTGCATTTTGTCCCGCATATACCCCTGTTAGTAGAACTACAGTAGAAGAGATATACTAAAACTTTATAACAAAATAAATAATAAACTTAAAAACGAATTTCAAAATTTTAGGAATATATTATTGCACTTACATCAGACATATGGGCTTGTAGATCAAAAACCGTTTTTTAACTGTTACAGTACATTTCTTAGATCATAATTGGAGTTTACAACAAAAATTGATAGGTTTTAAACCATTATAGAAAAACATAGTGCTGAAAATTATTTTACGATTCTTGAAGTTTTGCAAGAATATTTATTAACTAGAGTTGTAGCGAACGCTTGATAATGCAGCTGCTAACACCGCGGCATATCTTTATTTGAAAAGAATGGATCCGTTGATGAAGGCAATTTTATCACCAGAGATGTGCTTGTCATCATCAATTTGATAGTTAAAGCAGGTTTAGATACTATACATTCAAGGATTGAGAGGGTGCGTAGAGCTATCGGATTATCGTCGGCGGTAGCAATAAAAGATGGCAGGAGTACGTCAAATATTGTAACCAGAGGACCATCGGTTCGACCTTTGAAGTTATGTACAGACATGCCTATCCGTTGGAACTCTACCTACTTGATGTTGGAAAAAGCTTTGCCAAACGCGAAACAAATTACAGATTTCGTCAACGGAAGACCTATCCAGAGGAAGTTGTCGATTATGATGATTGGGGGTTTGTGAACTTTTATTCATTTCTTAAAATTTTTTATCATGCTACTAATACATTAAGTGGTATTTATTATCCAACTACTATTTAGTGTTAGATATTTTAGTTCAAATTGCTAAAACTTTTTATCAATATAGACATGATGACATTTTTAGTGAATTGTTTCAAGTATGGAAGAAAAATATAGGATATGGTTAGATATTCCATTCTATATGGATTAGGCCTTTTTCTAGATCCTAGGTTTAAATTATCGTGGTTAACGGTGTAATTACTGAGCTAGGCCATTATTTAGAATATGATTATACGTCTTATTTGACTGACTTTAAAAACAATTGGATAGGCTTTTTTTTTATATGAGAACATACAATGCAGTGGAAGTGGAAGTGGAACATCTGGGAGAGGCGATCAGGACCTTGATGTAGCCCCCAATGGTCGAGCAAGTGGGCGTATGTGGGACGTAGCGGAAGCTCCAACTCTAGCTCCAGCGTACATACATAGACCAATGAGATGACTCACTACCTACAGGTGGACTTGAATTTTATACGTGAAGGAGCAACTTGACATGGATATTCTTCAATGGTGGAACCAACAAGAAAGTCAATTCCCCATTATATCCCAAATGGCACGTGACATTTTATCTGTGCCGGTTTCTACAATTGCATCCGAGTCAACATTTTCAACGAGTGGTCGGATTGTTGAAGACAGAAGATGTTCTTTAACCGATGAGATGATTGAAGTGATAACGTGTTTACGGGATTGGACTCATGGAGAAAGAAGACTACAACAGCACCTTGAAGATCCCGAACTACTCGAACTCTTTAGGAATACATATTTGAATAATGTAACTAGTGTTGACGATGAAAATGAAGATGAATAATTTAATAAAAAAATTATTTAATTGTTTATTTGTGAAGCGTGAATGTGTGAATGTGTGAAATGTGAATATTATATTTATGTTAAAAATTAAAATTAACTATTAATTTATTATTTTTTAAAATTAATTAAATTTTTAGAAACTTACTAATCAACCCCTAAAAAATACTAAAAACCCCCTATAAAATTTTATTTTGCCCCCAAAATATAAAAAAATTTTCCAAACCCTATGGGACCGGTCCTAGGACCGGTCCTGGGCCCATGGGACCAGTCCGGACCAGGCCTAAGGCCTGGTCCGGGTCCTGATTTTTCTCATGGGCCTGGGACCGGTCCCAGGCCCATGAGAGACTGGTCCCATTTGGGACAAGTCCCAAGGGACCGGTCCCTTGCCCAGGTATAGGTTTGAGGCTGAATTTGTGAGTGATTTGGTGGTGGATTTGGGGTGGGTTTGCGGCTGAATTTGTGAGTGATTTGGTGGTGGTTTTTGGGTGGGTTTGCGGCTGAATTTGTTATTTATTTGGTGGTGGTTTCTGCTTGGGTTTGTGGCTGAATTTGTGAGTGATTTGGTGGTGGTTTTTGGATGGGTTTGTGGCTGGATTTATGAGTGATCTGGTGATGGTTTTTGGGTTGGTTTGTGGCGGAATGTGTGAGTGATTTGGTGGTGGTTGTTTGGCGGCGGGGCTTTGGGGTTTAGAGGGATTGCGATGGTGGTGGATGAGTGGAAAGGTGGTGGGTAGTGGTGAGGACTTCGGGGGGGTTTCGATCATAATGGTGTTGAAAGGTGGTGGTGGGAGAGAGGAGCGTGGTTGTGGCTGTGGCTGTGGCTGTGGGAGGGAGAGAAGCGGCAGAAGAGAAGAAGGGGGAGATGAAGAAGAAGACGAAGATGGGAGGGTAGTTTGGTAATTGCCGTCTTCCGAATCTAACAGTGACTAACCACGTTAGCTTAAGGATGAGAATCTGGAAAATGATTAGTTTAAGGGTGAGAATCTGGAATTAATGAAAGGGTATTACTGTTGGATTTCGTCGAACCTCGGATGGGAACGTATCGTTTACTCATTAATTAATATGGCCGGTGACTGAAACTGGGTTCGCAGCGGAAACCCATAAAAATGTTACACTAAATCTAAAGGAATATAAAGGATTTCAAATATATGTATAAAAATATATATATTTTGAGAAGAATTATATATATATAACCCAAAAAAGAAATCGAAAAGAAAAAAAAACTAGATCTAGCTACTAAAAAGTGGAAAGAAATAGATTTCCATATGAAATAGAAAGAATTCAACTGATTTTGAAAAGATCAAACAAATTATATAAAAAAATATAACCCCAGTTTTGTCATACAAAATTTAGAGAAAAAATATCATAATTTTGTTCCAAAAAAAATAAAAATAAATAAAGATACTGTGCTTTTTAAGACCTAAAACGGAAAGAAAGGAAAACAAAATGAAAATACATAAAGATACTGTGCGGTGGAGCCCGCCATGTCGTACTTATTTTTCTTTTGAAAACGAGCGGCTTCTGAACAAATTCTTTCTTCATCAGTCTGAGTCTCACAGCCGAGTCACAGGTAATAAACTCCTCTTCATCCAGTCCCAAACTATGTTATCTTCTCCTCATTTATGTATTTTTATTGCATAATAACAAATAAATTGAGAGAGAATTTCAATATTGACAGTGGAGCGAAGAGCTGAACAACGTTAAAACTAAACAAACAGAACTGCATCACCAAATAAAAAGGAAACTATATTAATACTAAGAAATGCAACAAAGCTCAGTACCCCATAAAATTACGGAAAGGTCTCATCTTATAGGTGAGTTTTCCATTACGGAACTCAGATATTTTAATAATAGGCACTGGCGCAAAGAGCTGGACAGCGTAATTAAAACTAAACAAGCAGAACTGCATCAATGAAAATGTAGAACAGGCTTATCACCAGATAAAAAGGAAACTATTTTAATACTGGGACATGCAACAAATCTCAGTACCCCAGAAAATTACGAAAAGGTTTCATTTTGTAGGTGCGTTGTCCATTGGCATCAATGACCATGTAGAACATCACTTCATCTCCAACTCGAAGCTGCTTCCTCCTCACAAAATCTTTCCACTGGCCTTGAAAAACAGGTTGTTTCCCATTATCTTGCACGTAAAACCTAAGATTCCACAGAACCCCTTGCTCTTCCATATCCTCAACAATCAAATTTTGGAAGCGATTGCTGCCCACAAAAGGAGGGAGTTGGTCAAGTTTATCGATGGGGATGCACAGCCTTTTAGCAATAGCTGTTTTAGATAATGGCTTTGAGAAAATTAATTCATCCATTATCATGAACTTCAAGAAGAAAAACGAGAGAGTAATATGGATTATGGAATACCAGAAAAGAAGCAAAGGAAGATGTTAGTGGGTGAGTGATGAAGTTGTGCCTTGTGTTCTTTTATAAGGAAAGCAAATAAATTAAGGCTTGATTGTGAAGACCTCTCTATTTTGCGTCTCCATTTTTGCGTCTCCATTTTTGCGTCCGCCGCTTTTTTGCGTCCGCCGCTTTTTTGCGTCCTCTATCTTTTGCGTCTCTCTCTTTTGCGTCCTATCTTTTTTGCGTCCTCTATCTTTTGCATCTCTCTCTTTTGCGTCCTCTATCAATGATAAAAGTTTATAAATTGATAAAAACACATATTCTTGATAGCCGACCACCAACTACGAACATTTAATGGGTGGGTGAGGCCATGAGGGTATTTTTATTAATTTTAAAACTTTTATTATAAGAGTGTTTAACTAAATTAACAAATATATGGGACTAAAAAATAATTTTATCAAACACATTTTTAAATTCAAATCCTATCCTTTAATAATAATCTAACTCAACTTTTTCAAAAATATTACTCAAAATAATAAAACAAAATTACCTTTTCATTCTCCTGTCCTTATAAACAAGTTTGAACCTAAAAAAAATTCTAAGAAACAAGGTAAGTTTCGAGAACAAACCAAACATAGGGATTAACGAAAACTATTAAAACGAATTTGGACCTAAAAGAGAACTTTTGGCAAACTTTGTGCTCTTCTAGTTTCTACGTAAATTTCAAAAGTAAAAAGAGTTATTCTTCCCGTCATTCCTTTTAATTTATCTTTCTGTCTGCTTGAGAGTCAGGCGGTTTGAGTGTAGGGAGTAGGGACATCACTTTACTCGCTTCAATTCATTAAGACGTGTAATTAATACACCTAAAATTCATAATTAAATAAGGAATTATATGAAATCTTAGATTATTATATAATAAAAATTAAATTTGAAATGCATAAATTAAAAACTTTTAAGATCGCCAAAGTAATCACAACCACCCAAAAGTTAAATCTAATGGCGTGTAAATGTAATTGATGCAAGAAATTTTATAAAAATATTGTGTTTGTTTTAGTATTTTGGATAGTATTTTTGAAATATTATTAGTAAGTAGAATCGGGTGATTATTATGAAGTAGAATTTAAAAATTAACAAAAAAACCTCTGGGTTTACTAATTTACTAAACACCTCAATATATAAAACTTTTGTAAAATGACAAAAACATTCTCATCAACCCGTAGTTGCTAGATTCAGGCCACTACCGTCGAAATCTGGCGTCACAACGTACTACCAGTCGGATCTGATTGGTAGTGCATCAATCTGACATTTTCCAGCTAGATATAACTGTCAACGACGGCTAAAGATATGACTGTTGTTAATCAACATACATAGGATTGATTCTTCTTCAATATCAACCAACATAAACATACAAATATCTAATTTCTCTTTATGGCCTTAATTTAAAGAGCTAGCTAGCACACCTCCATGGACAATGACTACCATTACATCATGTGCGATGTCCTCTAAATTTCTTTCATACAGACAAATATAATATAAAAAATACATCCCAGAAACCAGATGTTTTTGAAGCCACCAAAAAATGGGAATTGACAGCTAATGCTGAAAAAGAGGAGGAAGAAAAACAAGTGGAACATGCACCTTCATTGCTTCCTAAACTTAAAGAATCCACTGGTGCTGCTGATCTAACTCGAGGGTCCAAGAGTTGTCATTGGTTTGAAGAAAAGCATGAGATGTTCTCTCTCGTAACAGAAGGATACTATGGGAACAATAAGGGTATTACTCGTGCTTGAAGTAGGAGCTTCCACACAGTAGAGGAATATGATGCACTGGTTGAAAAAATCCGCTCATCCAGGGCAATGGCAGATGCATAGCAAATAAGGTTTAGTGGCAAGGAAAAGAGTTCTCTGCAACTTCACCATTCTAAGCAATCACAATCTGAGGATGAAAGCTCAAGTAGAAGAAAAGGTTGTCCTCTTTAGCTCAGGAGCAGAAACCACAGTAGCTGGGACAAGAGAAGAACCAAATGTTGAAAATGCTGAAACAAGCATCTTTAAGGGGACAAAGAGAAAGCTGATTGCAAATGGGCTAGAGTCGCCAGAAATCCCAACTACCATTGAATTTCCAAGAGTTGCAAGCCTTAGGAATGGGTACATGTTGGAGGACAAGTTTATTCTCCAGGAGCTTATTGTTACTCCAAAATTTGGTAGCTATACTTTACCAATATCGGAACCAAGGGGGTAACATTATCCCACCGGTACCTGAATAATCCTCTNCAATAGCTACACTGTCCACTATTTTTGATAACTTTTACAAATGATACCTTACTTTGTATAAAGAATGATTATATGTATTAAAAGAAAATTTTGAGCCCATTTACTTTTGCTAATATAAATGCATTTTACTTTATGTATTTCTATGAGTAACCTAGTATGAAGTAGTTATTACAATGGGCCGCTTTATTTCATTCTTTTTTAAGGTTGAACAAAAATTCAACCGCAAAGGAATCTTTCCACAAAAATTCAACCGAAAAGGAATCTTTCCACAAAAGTTACCTTAGTATGTTAACACTTTATAGTTTATGCAATGAGGCTCATTTATATGCAATATTATATCATTATGGAAGAAAAGAAAACTAATTGTGATACGCTTTTTCTGATAAAGAGTACAAGTTAAAAGGTTGGGAATTAATTACCAATTAATTATAATGATAATTGACATTTGGAATATGCAATTCAAACATTATATTTGCAGATCGAGACATAAAGTATTACTGAATCTCTCTCCACTCATGTCTAGGTGATCATAACAAATTAAGAATACAAAGGTCAAAGTAGTTTATTAAATAAAAATATTATTAGCAAGTATCGAAAGTACGTATTTGACCATAAACTAACGGACTTCATAACACAGTTCTTTCATAGGCTCACGTGCTTTTGCTGATAAATTAATGTCGGGTATATGTGACCTTTGGGGTTTCATAGACTCCAATTAGGATTAGGATTAGGGTTAGGGTTAGGGTTAGGGTTAGGGTTAGGGTTAGGGTTTTTAGTTGTTGAACAGACGATTATATCCAAATTAATTTGCTTTGAGTTAATTTCTGTTTTGGCTTAGGGTTTTTGTTTGTAGAATTAATGAATTTTATTCTTTATTTACAGGAGGCAGGAGCGGTTGGATTTTCTTTATGATTCGGGTTTAGCGGTTGGGAAGAGTGATGGAGGAGGGGCGAGTGGAGGTGGGAGTGGATTCAAGGCTCTTGAACAACCCTCTACTACCTCCTCCTCTGCCACGGAAAAGCAGCAGTCGTCTGCTCCAGGTGCTTTATTTGAGGATGATAAACCTCACGCTGCTGGTGATGCCTGGCGTAAACTTCATTCCGATCCTTTGGTTTTGATTCGCCAGCGTGAACAGGAAGCACTTGCCCTTGTCAAGAACAATCCTGTCAAGATGGCCCTCATACGTAAATCTGTGTGTTCCTTTCAATTCTCTATGCTTATTACTTCTCAAATTACATATTTGATGTTTTACTTCTACTGTGTTGTAGTTGTAATTATTAGCTGTGTTCTCATTATTTTGTTGCAGACAAGAATTCAACTGAAAAAACTAGACCAATACTATGCTGATCTTTTGCTGTCTGTTTTTGGTAGGTGGAAGAGACAAAACACAAGGATAAGCCTCGTGACAAGAAAAAACATAAGAAGAAGCATCGTTCTAGTTCAAAGCATCGGAAGCATTCATCATCCAGACAACAATCTGATTCTGAGGATTCGACTTCTTCAGAAGGGGAAAGACCGAGGAAAAGTAGGAGTCACAAGAGCTCAAACCATGAGGACCACCACCACAGCAAACGAGCGGATTTGGGAGATGAATTAAGTGAAAGGAGAAGTAATGAGAAGAATCATCACAGCAAACGAGTGGATTCGGGAGATGGATTAAATGAAAGGAGAAGTAATGGGAAGAATCGTTACAAAGACTCAAGATACAGAGAACGGTCACCCAGTGACCTTCCAGAACCAAGAACCAGAAGAAATGATGATTGAGATTCTGTGAGGAGGAATCATGATAAGTCAAAGCATGAAAGATATTCTTCTGATGATCGGACAAATTTGGATGCTGACAACAAGGGAAGGGAAAACAAAAGTTCTTACGAACCAAGCTCCTATGGTTCTTCTGCTGCTGCAAATAGGAGTGAATTACAATCACACCATAAACGCCGTAATGCTGCTCCTAAGCTTTCTGAAGAAGAGCTGGCTGCTAGGTTGCGTGAGATGCAAGAGAATGCTGAATTGCATGAAGAACATAGATGGAAAAGATTGAGGAAAGCTGAGGAAAATGATGCAAGGGAAGCTACCCGGGATGGGATATCTAATGGCAAGAACTTCTTGGATGCTGCTCAAAAAAGTGTGTATGGTGCTGAGAAGGGGGGAAGCTCAACAATAGAGGAGAGGGTACGTCGCCGAACATATTATTCACAAGGCCGGTCTGAGGCTAGTGAAGGCAATGCTTTTAGGCGGTGATGCTCTTCTACATCCTTTTTATGGAACCTTATAATCCAGGCGTGCTTCTCTGTTTTTCCCTTACAAGAGTGTATATTTCCTGTACCAGCCTATGTCCTTACTGTAAGGATGAGCTACTGAATGTTAGGCAGGATGATCACGAATGTAATTCATTTTCACCTCAAATAGGCCAGAATATTTCAGTTTAGAATCTTAATATAACTTTTTGAGTAACTCAAATGGGATAATTTTTTTTTTTTTTTTTTTTTCACAAATGCTGCAGATATCATATTCGGGTAACAGTTTATGACATGTGTTTCTTTTGTTACTTCATCTCGTTTCTTCTGATATGAATGTATTCATTTGCGAGGTGCTCAAATTGGGGTGCAATTTCACCCTCTATCATTGCTTAATATTTCTAGATTGGTTTTCCCACTTTTAGATGTGATCCGCTCATAACATAAAAGTTTGACACTGTTAAGGGTGGCCCGTACCCCGCCGTACATAGGCCTAGCCTGTAACTAGTAGCAAGCTCTTGAAATCACGAGATTTATCGTACTGTCTTACATAACTGTCTTATTTATCCTAGTCTGGAGTAATGATGTTTTGTACATATGAAGATTATTCAAAATCTCCCCTTAAATTAACATCATTTCATTTGTTTTAACAGTGAAGGAGCAAATTGGTCTTTCTGTTATTTTTCTTTTTCCTCTTCCCTTCCCATTTCTTCCCCAGTACCCTCCTCCCCTTCTTCTTCCTCCTCTCTTTCCCTTTCTGTCCTTATCTCCGCCTCCTCCTCTCATCTTCTTCTTTTTCCCTCCACACCTCCTCCTCCATCCCCGACACCCACACCATCCCACCCATACAACCCCAACCCCTGACTCCCCTTTTCGTCGTCAACCATTCACCTCAAGTGTCGCACTCCGCCAACTTCTTTCCGGCAGTCCCATCACCAAAAATCTTCATCAAGCCCACCATTTAACTCTCCATAACCCTATGCTTTCTGTCCCCGATTTCTCACCTTTCAACATGATTTAACCCCCTCCCCTAGGTTTTCTATTTTGTTTTTTGCTTTTGCTTTTGCTTTTTGATTTTGTTTTATGTTTTATGTTTTTTTTTTTTTTTTTTTTTTGTTTTTCTTATTGAAATGGTGTGATTGTTTGGTGGTTCTTTGGGTTTGGAATGGGTGATTTGACCGACTGTGGTGGTGGTTTTTGGGATGGGGTGGTTTGGAAATGGAATGTGGTGGTGGTGGTTTGGCCGCGCTGTGGGATTTGGAATGGAGTATGGATGCTAGGTGGTGGTTTGGCTGGCTATGGTGGTGTCCGTGGTGGTTTGGAACGGGTGAAGGGTTTGTTTGGTAATGCATCCGTCAAACCCAACAGTCACTAACTGTGTTAATAAGGGTGGGTATTTGGAATAATGAAAAACAGGAGTATTACCTGACTTTAGCTACACCTTGGGTGGAATATGTTTACTCTTCTACTCACGATCATTTATTTCTATGTTAGGTTCTTGTTCTGAGGACTTCCATCTTTTGTGAATTCAACGGCTACGTGGCAATAGGTCACAAAAAAGCCAAACACAGAAATCGAAAGAAAAAAACTAGGTCTAGCTATTAAAAAGTCGAAAAAATAGATTTTCATATAAAATAGAAGAATTCCAAAGATGGGTCCCTCTAACAAGCCAGCCATATCGTCCTTATTTTGCTTGAACCAATTTTTTATTGTCCTAATACTATAATTATATTTATTAGGGCAATAAAAATATATATAAACTCCTCTTCTCCAGTCCCAAACTATGTTATCTTCTCCATTTATGTATTTTATTGTCCTAATACAAATAAATTGAGAGAGAATTTTCAATATGCAGTGGAACATATCTAATACTGAGAAATGCAACACAGCTCAGTGCCCCATCAATTACGAAAGGTCTAATCTTATAGGTAAGTTTTCCCTTTGATGAACTCGATATTTAGTAATAACACTGGCGCAAAGAGCTGACAACGTAATTCAAAATTTAAAACTAAACAAACAGAACTGCATCAATGAAATGTAGAACAGACGTTATCACCAGATAAAAAGGAACTATTATTATCTGGGACATGCAACAAATCTCAGTACCCCATAAAATTACGGAAAGGTTTCATCTTGTAGGTGAGTTCTCCATTGGCATCAATGACCATGTAGAACATCACTTCATCGCCAACTCGAAGCTGCTTCCTCTTCACAAAATCAACCCACTGGCCTTGAAAAACAGGTTGTTTCCCATTATCTTTCACGTAAAACCTAAGATTCCACAGAACCCCTTGCTCTTCCATATCCTCAACAATCAAATTTTGGAAGCGATTGCTGCCCACAAAAGGAGGGAGTTGGTCAAGTTTATCGATGGGGATGCACAGCCTTTTAGCAATAGCTGTTTCAGATAATGGCTTTGAGAAAATTAATACCTCCATTATCATGCACTCCAAGAAGGAGAACGAGAGAGTAATATGGAATACCAGAATAGAAGCAAAGGAAGATGTTACTGGGTGAGACATGAAGCTGTGTCTTGTGTTTTCTTTTATTGGAAAAGACCGAATCGTACTTTATTCTGCGATTAAGCAGATTCTTGTTTTGAGTGATGAAGTTGTGGCTTGTGCTTTCTTTTATTCTGAGAGATCGAATCGTACTTTGTTTTTTGAGTTAGCAGATTTGTGTTTTGTAACTTTTGTTCACTTTTGTAGTTTTATATGTATTATGAGGACTACTAACAATTTGTTGGCATATGTAATTTTGTACCTGCAACTAATTCTGAATTTCGCTATTAGATTCATAGAAAACCTGGTAAATTTGTGGGTTATTAGTAGTCCCGACATTGGATACATTTGCCAAGAAAAGTGACAACCACCCAACTTTTCCTATATTTGCGCTTTTTCTTTACTGTTTTTCTTATGTGGAACTCTCAACTTTTCCTTTGCATCTAAGATCACCAAAGTAATCAGAACCACCCAAAGTTAAATCTAATGGCGTGTAAACGTAATTGATGCAAGAAATTTCATAAAAATATTGTGTTTGTTTTAGTATTTTGGGTAGTATTTTTGAAATATTATTGGTAAGTAGAGTGGGGTGATTATTACGAGATAGAATTTAAAAATTAACCAAAAAAAAAAAAAAAAAAACCATTAATTTACTAATTTATTAAATACCTCAATATATAAAATTTTTGTAAAATGATAAAAACATTCTTACTCACCTACAGTTGCCAGATTCTGGCTACCACCATTGGAATCTAGCGTCACAGCGCACTGCAGACGGAATCTGGCTGTTAGCGCACCAATTTGACTTTTTTCGGCCAGATATGACCATCAGCGACGGCTAAAGATATGGTTGTTGTTGATGGTCAACGAAGGCCAGATTTGATCTTTTTCGATTAGATCGGCGTAATATCGGTCAGTTTTAGTTGGTAGTACGTCGTTGTGATAGATTTTGACCACCTTTCAATGGTGGTGGTCGAAATTTGGCAAATGTGGATGATGAAGGTGTTTTTGTCAATCTCTAATTTTTTTTACGGAGTGTTTAATTAAATTAACAAACTTAAGGAATTTAAAAAATAATTGAATAAAATATAATAATATTTCTAGAATAAAAATATAAATATGTATTTTATAAATGATAGGAATAGAACGGAAAAAGAATATTGAAACAAACGGATAGCATCTCAGGTACTGTATAGTAAGATCGTACGGTGATAAACACTTTATAAGTTGCTGTCTCTTCTACTAATGTGAATGTGAATGTGTAGGAGAATGAATCTCAAACACCACTCACAACTGTCTAATCATTGGAGAGAGAAACTCAAACTCAATTTTCTCTGCCCACATGGAATTTCAAACAACAACAAAAAAAATTGTTGACTGGTAAACTAGTAGGTTTATAAGAACATTTTTGAGCTGGTTCTACGTGTAAAGTTCTCACTCTAAACTTATTTTTGCGCAAGAGAAAACTTCGAACCAAAGCTATGATTCATGATTCTCCAGTATCGCAAACTAAAGAAGGCAAAAAACTCGATACCAAAGTGCCTCTTCAGCACTATATTTAAGGCAAATCTGCCTTCCCACTTCAAAATCGAATGGAAAAAGCATTAACTCGATTATTCTACAATTCTGTTGAGATTAATTTGATCCACATGGTAACACAGAACCAGAACAAAATATATGAAAAACAAAAGAAGAAAGAGAAGAGGTGAGAAAAGAGGAGAATATGGAAGAAGTAAAAAAGAAATTGAAGAGGAGGTGAGAAAAGAGGAGAATATGGAAGAAGTAAAGAAGAAAGAGAAGAGACGGCGAGCAAGAGAGGGAAAAAAAAAAAAACAAAATGTAGAGAAGAAGAAAAGAAAGATGAGGTGACAGTTGAAAGGAAGAAAGAAAAGATGATGAAATGACATTTTGAAAATATATAATATAAAGAAGGAGATGACAGAAGTCAGAAAGAAAGAGAGTGGAAAAAAAGCGAAGTAGAAATGAAGAAAGAGAAAGACTAAATGATATGTTAGAAAACAACAAAGCTACGGACACCGAAAATTTTACATCGAAAATGTGTACCGACCTACGTGTAACACAACTTTGATTTTTTTAAGAATTTTTTTCTAGTGAACGGCCGTCCATCAAATTTGGACGGCCGTTCACTCACATGGACGCCCGTCCATATTATATGGACGGGCGTCCATATACAAGGGACGGGCGTCCCTATTTAAAAGACGCCCGTCTATAAATAAAATATAAAAATTAAAAAAAAAAACTTGGGGACGGCCGTCCATAAATTTTGGACGGCCGTCCCTTATGTTTGGACGGGCGTCCATTAGGAATGGACGCCCGTCCATACTTAAAAAAAAAAAAAAAAA